TTTATTAAATCTGTCAAGGTTTATCTTAAGATCACAATTAGGGTCAAATTTAAAATTGAAAAATTGTTTCCCCAAGTAACATTTATTGTGAAGGGTCTTAATTTGATAAAGTGAATCAAGTTTTGTCCAGATTTGTGCTGCAATTTTATTTTTCCCTATTTCTGTAATCACACTGTCAGATAAATGCAAGAAATCGTACTCCATGCAATTTCATCTTGTTAATTCTTTTATTTTCAATAACTTCTTTACCCCATGATTCATCAAGGGCTTTCACACGTCTATGTTGCATTAGAAGGGCCTTCATTTTCTGACTTCAGAGAGTAAAGTCTCATTTGCCATACCAAATTTCAATATCAATTTTGATACTTTCCCTGGTTTTGAAAAACTTGATTATTTTGAAAACTCATTGCAAGGTTTGAAGTACTCAAAATATAGAAAGTAATTTATTCACTTAAGAACACACACAAAGTGTTAGTGTGCAAACTTATTCACATGGATGCACAAGTTCATAAGCAAAGAAGGCAAGTAACGTCAGATAATCAAATCACAAAATATAAACTCCCAAAATAGATTTAGAAGATAATCCTGAAGACACGGTTAAACCTTGTCCCGTTGGATTCTAAGGTTCTCGCATGAAACCCTAGATAAAGGAAGATCAGGGTGGGTTTTAATCAAGATATGCAAAAGTGTCAAGATATTGAAAGTTAACAATGGAGATAGGTTAAAAATCCGTTACTAGTCATGTCTCAGATCAGCGATGTAAAATAGTGAATACCAAACTATTTTACTTTCTCCGAAATAATGAAGATCAAACTCTTACAATATAGATTTGTGAAGATCTAAGGTTTTGGCTACCAAGAACACAAGAAATATTCAGATTGAAGGTTTTCAACATAGATCGAGCAGCTTTGATACCACCATTGGTATATCTAGTGCCAGATTAAAAACCAATTAAATCAAAACACAGGAATTTTTCGTTCTTAAGCCCAAGATGTTCACCTACAAAGAGCAAATTACCACGTTGATCATCCACCTAAGTGGTTATCGCTCTAATCCATTAGAATCTAGCAAAATATGTCAATATACAAGTATTAGAGACTCAATAATCCTACGACTCGCAGCCCTCAGCCTCAAACTCTCACTTTCTCTCTTTACAGATTACACAAAGTAACCAAGGGCTACTGTTCACCAAAGATCAGGAAAACCACAACCATGTCGTAATCTACACTAGCATCACCAAGAATATCCAGAACTCAAAAGATTATAGACCAAAAGCAAGAGTTTTCAGAGAGAAAATTACAAAGACAAAGAGAGAGTAAACCCTAGAATTATCTCGAACTCCTGCAAATGAATGAAAGATTGGGAATTTAAAAGGTCATAATGCATCCAATGGTTGAGCCATCACCAAGTGTAATCATCTCATCCATTTAACTCAAATCAACTAAATTTGTGTTTAAGTAAATACGAGAATACAGATAGAAAGGCCAACTGGGGTCACATTCCACCATAATGGGCCAAGAATACAAGTTATTGGGCTCTACATCATTGGACCATTATAAGATGTAAAGCACATATTTAATAATTTCTCAATCACTCGAGCATCTTTATTACAATTAAATATATCAAATTTTCACGAAGGAGAACATGAATCTATTTCAATATTCTGTTTTAAAAAACAGGTTCCATTAAAATTATTTCAAAACTGTCTCATATTGAGCATTATTTTCCTGCAAAGTTCATAAATAGTGACAGGAAAAAAAATGGATCATGGATCTTGAGAATCTATCTAGATTTTTTCTTTTCTTTTTCCCAAGGAGCAACTTTACAACTAATAAGTGTAATTTCACGATGTAGGTCTTTTAGCTAAATAAACTTTCTTGTGAAGCACTGGCCCCCCATCCTCGTTAGATAATATTGTTTTATCTTATTAAGTCCATTATTGATAGGGATTAAAATTTTGATTTTAATCTAAATTAAAATTAACATTTAATTTTAATTACATATATCATGAGATTCACAATTTTTCAACCAAACATTTCATTAAATTTTATCAAAGTTTACTAAAAATTTGATTTTAATACCTATTAAACAATGGCTAAGAGAACTATGTTGGGGCTAGCCTTCGTTCTCAACTTTTACTCCATTTTGCACTTATATTTCTTTTAATTACCAACTCTAATCTTTCACAAAGTGGCAAACACTAGCCTCAATAGTGAGTTTAGTTCAAAACTGATGCTAAATTTACTCATGAAATCATTATTTAAAATAAAAAATGACATTTTGAATAGTATTTTTTTGAATAATGTGTAGTTAAAAAGTATAATTTTTTTTTTTGTGAATTTTTGTGCAAAATATTTTATTATATGAATATTTGGTTGAAAATGAGTATGAGAATTAAATAGTTTTGTTTTAGGCCATGTTTGAACTTTATTTTAATTTTAATGCATCTTACTCTCTCATTTTTTTAACTACACATTTTTTAATAAAATAATATCACACGCAAATTTAAATTTTCTTCGTTTTTAATTATAATTTTTCAAAAGAAAAAAATTACTATTTAAAAATATATTTTTCCAATAAACGCATTAAGCTCTTTTTTGGATCATTTTTTTCATCATTTGTAGAAGAAATATGACCGTTACCCATCAAATCAGACCACAATTCTTGATTTCAACATACACATGCGAGACCAAGCTGAACAAGCGACGGTCAAAAAATTTCTACAAATTTCCTGAATAATATAGCCCAGACGGGCTAAAATGAAACCTGCACAAAGAACTTAAAGGGTGGACAAATAGGGGCTTTGTTGACCTCATTGACCAACATGTGCTTCGAAGACTGCAAAATTAGCTCTTTAGCTAGTATCCGCATGGAGTCGATCTGATCATTGCACACAGATAGATGCCAAAGTCATTAAGTTGGAGACATTCATTAGTTTTAGTTCCCCAAATTACTTGATCTGATCATTGCACACAGATAGATGCCAAAGTCATTAAGTTGGAGACATTCATTAGTTTTAGTTCCCCAAATTACTTGTACTACTTTTAAGAGATTGTCTGAACGCCAATTTGTTTCTCATCATTTGACCATTAAAATAAAAAATATGATCGTTATTCATTACATCAAATCATCATATTTAAATTTATATATTTTGTGTGGGACCCGTAACTACTATATTTTTTCATTCCCATTCTCACATTAATGGGAAACAAATGGAGCATAAATAAAAAATACTGTTTATTTTAAAAAATTAATGTTTATCTATTTTAATTTTTTAAAGTAGAGAGTGTCTTTTAACTCTCTAAATTTAGAGAATCAAATCCACCTGGATTTCAATATTTTATTTCTTAAATTATTCAAAACACATTTAAATTAATTGGACACTGACATTGAAAAAAATATGTTAAATAAAATATAAGAAGAAATCAATAAATATTTGCTGAGAGAAAAAAATGAAGAGTCAAAATAGAGAGTATTATTAGAGTGTATAAATTTTTTGACTTTCTGAATTTATAGATACTCTTTATAATGCATACAATAGTATTTATATATAAAGTATCTCTTAAAACTCTTTAAATATAAAATTCTCATTATTTTAAATAGTCAATACTCAAAATGAGCTCTAAGTGACTCTCTATTTTAACTTTTTAAATTTAGAGAGAGAGACTTGCTCTCTACTCTTAATGTAAAATGAATGTATTTAATAAATCACATGTTTTAACACTCTACTTCTTAAATTATTCAAAATACATTTAAATTGATTGGCCAAGAGACATATAAATAAGTGGGTTAAATAAAATATGAAGAAAAATAAATCCATGTTTATTGAGAAAAGCAAAATGAAGAACTAAAATAGAGAGTTTGTTGGAGTGTATAAGAAATTTGACTTTTTAAATTTAAAAATACTCTTTATAATATATTAGATGCATTTTATAAATAAAGAATCTATTAAGGATGCTCTTAACGATTATTTGAAGTAGCTTAATTGAAAATTATTTTTTCCCTCAAATTTATTTTTAATTACACTTTTTTCAATAAAATAATATTACATTTGAATATATCACTTTTCCTAGGAGCTTGTTTGAGCCCCAATTTTTTGTCCAAAATGTATTTTGAAATAGTATTTTGATAGAGAATGTGTAATTGAAAAATTAAATTTTTTTTTTGAATTTACGTATAATATTATTTTATTGAATGATATGTGGTTAAAAATAAGAATAAGAAAATCTATTTTGAAAACAATAAGGACCAAACAAAGGCTTCATTTATAATCACACATTCTTCAAAATAAAAAATAATTTATCACCACAAATATTTTCATCCAAACAAACACATACTTATGTATTAATATTTATTTAATTATTTTAAGTGATATTTATTTATTTTTTTTGAAAAGTTATGAAATTTCATTAGCAATCTTTCTTATTTTTGGTTATTTTACTGCTTTATTTTATTTTGTTCATTAAAAGAGAATGCAATATCAAAATGGAGGGAATGATGACTAATTATATAATTACAAGGTTGGGATGAACTATTCTAAAAAAATTTGTTGAGGATAAATTTGTTATTGCAAAGATTAGAAAAAGAAAAGTGCGGCCAATATTTCAAGGGCCGATTTTGATATGGGAGTTAATTGTTCCAATGGTTATCGAATTTAGTTTTATAGCTTTGATTGGTCATTGAAATTTAAAATGTTGAGTTTTGGTCATTAAACTTATATTTATGTTTTTTATTGTTCATTGAAGTTTAAAATGTCGAGTTCTGACTACTTAACTTCGAAAAATGTTGTACGTTACTCACTGTAAACTCGATATTTTTCAAAGTTCAGCAATTATACTAATGAATAACGTACTGCATTTTTCAAAATTTAATGATCAAAATTCAACATTTTAAATTTTAATTAACAATACAAGATATGGATCTAACATCAGTGACTATTGGAACAATTAATTCTGGATATGGTAACCATCTAATAGGGTAAGAAAGAAAGAAAGTTCAGGCTGAGTAACATTTTAATCCAATGCATTTTGTTCCTAACGTCGTCGTTTAATCACCACGGAAGAAGAGTTGACCTGGCACAATTTCACAGCCATCTTCTTTCCACTTTCCAGTGCCTGCAATTCGCTTTTGGCCCTATAAAATTTCAAATCTCTACGTGCTACATATGCATACACGTTTATATATATAAAGAGAGTGATTGGCGAAAAGGGGGATGGTGTCGTACATGAGCGTATTGCTGTTTGGGTTGGGTGGAATAGTAGTGGCGGGTGTGGCTTTGCTGGTGGCATTCCAGGAGAAGCTGGTGTACGTGCCGGTGTTGCCCGGTTTAACCAAGTCCTATCCCATCACCCCTGCTCGCCTCCGCCTCCTCTACGAGGATGTGTGGCTCAGATCCTCCGACGGCGTCCGCCTCCATGGCTGGTTCATCCAGCTATTCCCCGATGGTCGAGGTCGTAAATATGAATTTAACCGTGTTTATTTTTGTTGGATGTGTGTGTGTAATTGTATGTGTGATCAAGGCGTGTTTGATTGATGATTGAAATTTAGGGTTTTGAATTAAAGGGTTTGTTGTAATTTGGTTTGGTTTGGATGGGAAATTTTTGTGGAGTTGGGGCTTGGCTTATTGACTTCGATGGAAAATATGATTGCTGGTGTGGGAGTGGAATCCAGAGAAATAATTTTGAATCTGAAGGGATTTTTTTTTATTCCAACTCCAAGACTCAATTAGACTGCAGCTTAGCTTGATATGAGATGATTTGAGTGGAAGTATGTACAGTAGTGAATATTTGGAGGGCTAGTAAATGGGGTGACTGGATTTCCTTTTTTTTTTTTTTGTCAAATCTTCTCTCTTTTGGTGGCAAGATAAGTGTGATTCAACAGAGTAGGACTAAAATTTTGTATGTTGTTGTCACTTGGTGGTGGTCTATTTCTTATGAGAAGGTGTTGTATTTGGTAAAGCAAGTAGTTCAACAGTGAAGGTCCATAATAAGCACGTGAAGTTTTCTGTAGTATTATGCCTTAGATGATAAGGGGAACAATGACTTTAAGGGAAATAGACACCACTAAGATTCAATTCAACCATGAAAAGGAAATATAGAAAGAATAGTTCAATGATGCAATAGTCATTGGAAGTGGAGTTCTTAAGAAAAAACTTAGTACTACATACATAAAGGGAAATTACAGCTGCTGTTGAGTATATCCTTTTTTTTTTTTCTGCTGTGTCTTGTTCCTTAAAATGTGGTTTGCATAAAATAATTGGTAACTGTTTAATGGGCTTCACTACACTTAAGACCTGTTGTCATTTGGTTTGCAGGTCCTACCATTCTCTTTTTCCAGGAAAATGCAGGAAGTATCCTTTTGTTTTCTGAAGACAGGAAATCTTATGTTCCATTTTTCACATCTGTAGATTGTTTTTAGAATTTTGTTCTTCAGATATCTCTGTCTGAGGCCTTAACTAGTTAAATGCAGACATCGCCCATCGTCTTGAAATGATTCATGTAATGCTGCAGAGACTACAATGCAACGTTTTCATGCTTTCATACAGAGGGTAAGTTATTTTAGTTTTGTCTTCTGTAGATGGTTTCATCTGATAGTGTTGTTAACTGGGTCATTACTTATCTAACTGAATATCTATTTTGTTGATTTTGTGGTACTCAGTTATGGAGAAAGTGAAGGATTCCCTTCACAAGATGGTATTACAAAGGATGCTCAGGTTTGTTTCTGGCCACTGTGTTTCACTTAACATAGCATTTCAACTTCTTCCAATGGGTGCTATCATTATTTTCTTTCTTTTCCTTTCTATTGTTTAGGTGTCGGGGGTGGGAAGTTCATATGGGGTATGGAGGATAAATTAAACACTACTACTTTGTAATAGTGGCATCTTCCATTTGAGCAGGCTGCTCTGGATCATTTGGTTCAGAGAACAGATATTGACACATCAAGAATAGTTGTCTTTGGAAGGTCACTTGGGGGAGCTGTTGGAGCTGTGCTTACAAAAAACAATCCTGACAAGGTAATGACTCCAGGGTTTGCTTTTATGGAAGTTCCTTTTTTATTGATTCAGTTGTCTTGGGTTCATTAAAAGTTTATCTGTAGCATCTTCCTGATAATTTCCATGAGATTTGCTTTAAAGTCCGTACAGATTGAGAGCCTTTCTTGTCTTGCTTGGGCAGAATGAGTGTTGGGACTGGGGATCCATGAAGTGAAATGACTCGTAATGCAAAGGATATTGGTGGTGTCAGTGTATAGGATGATGGTATCTAGTTTCATATTCTGATTCCTATTATATCCTTGTTCAACTACAGTAGATTTTGAACATCCCTATTGAAAATCCCCTTCAAAAATGAAGCATGGCCGATTTACCTTCCAATATAACATTTGTTGGTTGAAAGGCTTCTTAAAGAAGCAACATCTTTTAGATTGTGTATGATGGTGTTATTCATGTCGACATTAAACGGTTGCCATTTTCTTTCTTTATTTGTTTTTTTGGTGGTAGTGGTGTGAAGGTTGGATAGGGTTCTACGAATCATTCACATCAAAATTATAGGTTGATTTTCTCAGAGCTTTAATTTAAGGCTGCTTATAACTGCTTGATTTATAACATAAATGAATTTCAATTGTTTCCTTGTATTGAGGATATACTTTTTCTCTGTAATTGTTTTGGGTCTTATTGCTTTTTATTTTTATAGTAGTAGCTGGAAGGCTGGAAACATGAATTGAAAAGCAATAACAAGCTTGCAAAACATGGATAATGATGAGATTAGTCAGAAAGTTGCTTAATTTTATGCGCAAGAAATTGACTAAGTTGGATACTGGAAAAATTTAAGGAGAAATAGCATTTTGTATATTCTAAATTTCTTATCCGCTAGTGCTTGGTTTTAATAATTTGTATGTCAATACGTCTTCTGTTCTAATCAAGCCTGCACACTCATTTTTTTATTAAAAAAAAATAATAAAAAAAATTAATATCTATTCGAAGCACATGGACAGTTGTTTTCCCATTTTCTGGGTTGTCGGTAGTAATACCACTTTGACTAGCTGGCTCTGGTTATTCTCTTGGTACATTTTAGTTTGTCCTACTTAGTCAGCAAAGACATTTCTTAACTTCAACTTATTCGAAGATGCTTTTAAAATGTTTTTATGTCCTAACTGTTTTGATAATTATCACCTGGTGCGTTCTATGTTCTGCATGTTCCAGCTGAATAATATTATTATGCTGCTCTTTGTTGTTTGTTTTGTGTATGGATTATTTGTGCCTGTGTCCTTTTTCATCATTTTGCACCTTTCATTCGAGATTTTATTTTTCTGTACTTCTCTTGGGAAGTCCTCTCTTAGTTATTTGGTTTAATTTAATTCTTAGTTTAAATATGAGGTATGCCAATTTTGACTTGCACTAACCTTGGTGTATCATTATTGCAGGTGGCTGCAATAATACTGGAGAACACTTTTACTTCTATTCTTGATATGGCTGGCGTTCTATTACCTTTCCTTAAGTTGTTTATTAGGAAAAGTGGCACAAAGGGTCCCGGAGCTCTAAATTTTCTGGTTCGTTCTCCATGGAACACCATTGATGTCATTGGTGAGGTGAGATTACTAGTGACAGAACTCTGATTCTGAATCTGTGCTATTTTTATGCAGATACATCTTAGAATGTATGTTTTGACCATGTCTGACATTTATTTTTTCTATATGCTAAAAGGATTACTTTTTTTGATTGCTACGATATCTGCCTCAGGCTATATACTGAAATTGCTTGTCTTCCGCAATTAAATCTTAAAGGTTTGGTACATAACAATACATATAACTGAGCATATGATGAGCCTTTTTATAGTATGTGATGGAATTAGTATTGATTATTGAAGTTTTATTAAGAAGATACATGCAGAGGTATCCGGTGGAGATAATTGATTTATGTTACATCATTCCCATAATTTATATGGGTATAACCCTTTGTTTCATGCACTCATCTGCATTCACAATCAATTTTCACATAATGTAAGTTTTGGATAAAATGTGGTTCCTATGTTCAAGAGGCAAGATTATGATAGGATACCAACTTGAATGAACAAGATCAAATGCTGAATAAAGGACTTTTTATTGAAATAAAAACAATTACAGGAATTGAAATGATAACAAAAGCCTATAGAAGGCTGTAACCGAGAACAAGAACAGTAACCACTCCAATACTCTCTCCATCCTCCCCCATATGGCTAATTTCTACCTATATTTATAGCCAACTTCTAACAGATCCTTCCCTCCTCTCTAACAGATTTTGGTATTTCCATCCACTTGCACGTTTTTCTTCTTTTGGGACCTTCTAGAATGGATGGGGGTGGATAGGAGCCCATCAGATTACTAAATGAAAACTTGTTAAAAGTAGTCTGTTCAGATAACTATTGTACTTGTTTCTGCTGAAAGGCTTTTGGCATCATTAATTTATAGTATGTTTAACCCTGCTTAAAGCGACTAAAGGAGTGATGTAGAATCAATCAGGAAGGAGAAAAAGAAGAGGAGGAGGAGGAGAAGGGAGGAGAAACTGGGGGAGGGAAGAGAGCCGTGATCACAAAATATCTTTCATTCATCAAACTGATCTTCTAATCCAAATTACAATCATAAATAACAAAATAATAAACTTGGGCTCGGGCCAACCCATATACAAGCCTAATGAAACATAAAACCTAAATTAAATAAATAGAAGGTAAAAGGCCCAACAAATGGCTTGATGAGGATGATGTCCGCATCAACTCTTCCGGGGTGGCAGAAAAACTCGACCCCATCGAGTAGGGAGATCACAAAAAAGGCTGCTATAAATCTCTCAGCCACAAACTGAGCGGTTGAGCAAACTTCTTTCGACGTCTGTAGACACGTAAGGGTGGTGGTCTTGGTAAGGGAAGATTTTGTTAACTTCTATAATGCTCCAACAAATCAGGATCAAGCTGCTGAAGTGTCTCTTTGGAGATCCAAGTACAATCAGAATCAGGACGGCCCTGCCAACGAACAAGGAAGCGCCGAATGTCTCTATCCTTGGTTAATATGGTCTGTGCATCTAGAATAGTATCAATTTTATATTTATGTGCTGCAACAGGTGGAATCGGGGTAGGGATAACATGATCAGGATCAGGGTCCACAGATGGAGGTGTGAAAGGATCATCAGCGGGGTAAAATTGACCTTTGTAAACAACTAAGTCCTCAATATTAAAGGTAGGGTGGTAGCCAAAATGTGAGGGTAAGTCAATGATATAGGCATTTGGACCAACACGCTCCAAAATTTTAAAAGGACTCGCACTACGAGCTTGTAATTTGGAAGCAGACCCAGATGGACACCGTTCCGGCCTAATTCGAATCATAACATAATCTCCAACATTAAATTCAACGTGGCGTTTGTGCAAATTAGCTCGAAGTTTATATAATGCATCACTTGCTTCCAGCTGTTTATTGATTTCAATATGTAAGTCACGCAGATGTTGTGCAAAAAACTCAGTTGACACAGATACACTAGCATGTGGAGACATGGGAAGGTCTAACGGCTTCTTAGGCTTAAAACCATGAACAACCTCAAGAAGACTCATACCTATAGATCGATTCCTATTCGAGACAATGGTCTTAGGGAGGCCATACAGCTTGACGATCTCATGAAAGTATAACTTAGCAACCTTAGATGCATTGGAGGTTTTGTTACAGGGAATAAAGTGCGCCATTTTCGAAAAGTGATCTACTACAACGAAAATGGAGTCGTGTTTCTTTGGAGTACGTGGCAACCCTAGCATGAAATTCATACTAACATCTTGCCAAGGACAACTAGGGACAGGGAAAGGCGAGTAGAGGCCCGTATTCTGCCTTTTTTGCTTAGATCACTGACAAGTGTTACATGTGCCAACAATCTTGGCCACGTCTATCTTTAAATTAGGCCACTAGAATTGACGTTCAATCTCCTCTATGGTCTTATCATGCCCAAAATGTCTGGCCAACCCGTCAGCATGACTTTCCAATACTATAAAATCTCGCACTGAAGTCCTCGAGATGTACAACTTATTGGATCTAAAAAGATAGCCCTCCTCGAAACGGAAACCATCAGTGGTGTCCAACTCCCCATTTTGCAAAGCAAGAAAAATGTCTCTGAAATCGGGACATGACTCGTACTCTTCCTTAAGTCTTTCAAACCTTATGACCTTAACACATGATGGACAACAAGGCGATACAACAGCTTAAAGCGGCAACGGCTCGATTTTCAATACCCTTTTTATGCTTTAAGACAAAAGAATAGGCTTGCAAATATTCGATCCAGCGGCCATGCCTAGAATTCAATCGTCTCTGGGAATTAAGGAAACGAAGGGCCTCATGGTCCGAAAAGAGGACAAATTCATAAGGTAATAAGTAATGACGCCAATAGCGCAAGGCTTGTACAATTGCGTACAACTCCTTATCATAAGTCGAGTACCGTTGTTTGGCATCATTTAATTTCTCACTAAAATAAAAAATAGGATGGCGTTCTTGACTCAAGACTCCACCCATTCCTATTTGTGACACATCACATTCGACCTTAAAAACTTTGGAAAAATCCGAGAGTCGCATGACAGGAGCTTCTGTCATTCGCTTTTTGATTAACTGAAAGGCCTTAGCGGCTTCCTGCGTCCAATGAAATTCTCTTCTCTTCATACACATTATGATAGAAGCCATGATCGTACTAAACCCCTTGATGAAACGACGATAAAAGGTAGCTAAATCATGAAAACTCCTAACATCATTTATATTCTTGGGGTCAGGCCACTCAACAATTGCCCGAATCTTCATAGGATCAGCAGATACTCCCGTAGCGAAAACAACGAATCCGAGAAACACAACTGTATCCGCGAAGAAAGAACATTTCTTCACATTGGCATACAAGCTTGTTGCATGTAGTGTAGAGCAAACTTGCGTGAGATGATCTCGATGTTGTTCCCTTGGTTTGTTGTACACGAGGATGTCATCAAAGTACACGACAATTAATTTGCCCATGAAAGGCCGAAGGGCTTGTGTCATCACCCTCATAAAAGTACTTGAAGCATTGATTAGTAAAAAAGGCATTACCAACCACTTGTATAGACCATGTTTGATTTTAAATGCAGTTTTCCACTCTTCTCTTGCGCGGATCCGAATCTGATGATATCCACTCTTCAAATCGATTTTGGAAAAGATTGTGGCACCGACCATCATATTTAGCATATCATCAAGTCGAGGGTTGGGAAAACGATACTTGACAGTGTGACTATCAATGCACATCCTCCAAGAACCATCCTTCTTAGGTATTAAAAGGGCAGGAATTGCACAAGGGCTTAAGCTTTCACGGATGAAGCCTTTGTGAAAGAGTTCACCAATTTGTCTCTGGAACTCGACATGTTTAGCAGGATTCATTCTATAGTGAGACAAGTTTGGGAGAGACGAACTTTGAACCAGATCATAGCATGTTGAATATCCTGTAAGGGAGGCAATAGATTAGGGAGGTCGTCAATAAATACATCCTTAAATTCCTGAAGGAGTGATTGGGCTTCATTAGGGTTTGCTATTGGGGAATCGGACGGGATTTCCATAACAATCACAACAAATACGACTGAGTCATTTACGATTGTCCATTCAAATTCTGTAGGGCTAATCACATGTAATCCTTTCCTCTCGACAATTTTTTTGGCTTGGTGTAAGTCAACAGATTTTAGTGGTAAAGAATTAAGGTGAATCTCTTTTTTCCATTAAATACAAATGAACATGAATTTGATCACCCATGGATAGTTACATCCAGATCGAACAACCAAGGTCGATCAAGAATGACATGTCCGACATCTATAGGGATGACGTCACCCCATATTTGATCCTTATACTCAAGGAACTAGATAGGTAGCAGACAACGCTCTTTCACAACTATAGAAGAAGTGTTAACCCAAGAGAGACTATACAGTTGGGGGGCGGGACTGACTTCAATCTAAGACGGGACACGTGGTCACAGAGACCGCGTTAATACAACTCCCACTGTGAATAATAATCTTACAACCCTTATTGTTGATCTTGATGTAAGTATGAAAAATGACATGACGGTGCCAATCATCGGCATCCTTAAGTTGGGTAAGGGTAAAACGTACAACACTCAGCCGAGAGGTGTCGGGGGCCAGAGAAGTAGGATCTAGACCTACAGGAAGAGTACGAAGGCAGCCTAAGAAGGTACCCTCATTATCACCCAAATCGTCAAACTCTTCAAAGTTAGGCTCATAGACTTTGTCTTCTAAAGTCTCATCAATGACATCCTTCTGCTCGTCAATAACCAAGGCTCGACTTGAACATCTAGAGGAGATGTGGTCGAAACCCTTACAATTGAAGCATTGCAAATGAGAAGAAGTTCTTGAAGTTTCAGGAGCTTTACCTTTATTGTGTAAAGCAGGGAGTGCGTTAGACGGTGGAGGTCCTAAAAGAGATTTGGCGAGAGGAGGTGGTGCCGATGAGATGGATGGTTGGTTATTACTACGCCTTCCATATGGAGTCTCAGTAATCGACTCGTAATCTTGAACTAAGGAGTAAGCGTGATCGAGAGTGGTGACACCTCGAAGGACAAGCTCACGTCGAAGATCGTCTCTTAGGCCCTGTCTGAACCTACTTAAAGTCATAGTTTCATCCTCGACGATGTAGCATCGCATTTGGAGCTCATCAAATTGAGTAACATAGTCAGTCACTGGTCGGTTTCCTTGTGTGAGGGTATTCCACTGGTCCAACAAATTGCTCCGATAAGAGGGAGGTAAATACTTCTCTTGAAGGCGGCGCTTCATTTACTCCCAACTTCCAACGGGAGGTGCACAACGCCTCTCAAGAAGGTCCTCAACGCTTTCCGAAAAGAGTTGGACAATACCAGTTAATTTCAAACTGGCAAATTGAACTCTTCGATCCTCTGGAACTCCATACCATGAAAAGAAACGATCCATGTCTTTAATCCATTGTGTAAAAACTCTAGGATCTAAACAGTCTTCGAAAGTAGGAGCTTCTAATTTGATGTTTCGAAAGTAAGCGAGGAGGTGAATGAGTACCATAATGGTCATGGTCTCGTTCATGATTGCGCTCCTGTTCCCCATTCCTTTGTCCATGATGAACACGCCGTCGACCATCATGTCGATGACGATAGGGTATATTATGAGACGCTTCAAAGTTATCAGCGTCGATTGAGGGATAGGTTTGTTCTACCTTATTCACCCTAGCAGCTAGTTCTCTACTCTCTTCACGAGTTGCAGTCACCTTGGTTTGGACAATTGCTAATTGAGCCTGTAGTTGAGCTAATTGTCCAGTAAGAGCATCAAATTGAGAATGGTCCATAATCACAGTATTGGAATTGGGTATGACAAAACGATCACTACGCAAATGCATGCAATGTAACACTAACTGAATGTAGTAAATGATACCAAACTTTTAAGGATACCATTAACACTATCCTACGGATAAAGTTAAAACTGAAATGTTTTTCAAAAAATTATTACCAGATCAATAAACTACTAGTTCAAGAAATGAAAATAACAATTTCAGCATTTAATTTAATTAATTAATTAATTTTTTTTGGAATTATGAAAATTCAAATGTGTTAAGCTAATATTGCTGATCTATGTAAAATAATAAAGCAAGGTTCAAACACTAGTCAATGATATAAGCAAGTAAAATAAATGGGGGGTAAAGGTGAAAATGGCAAGGGGATTTAATCACGTGAATTTTATATAAAGGCTGTAGCACAAAAGTTAATCGATACAATTCAAAATAAAGAACAATATAAACTGAGGATAAATAAAACAATGACTTCCCTTTCGTTTGTTTGAAGAAGCCGTGTCCAATCAATTGGAATGAAAGAGATACCTGAAAATGATGTTAGAATTTTTTATTTTTTATTTTTTTTTATTTTTGACTTACAAAATCAAATAAGCAAATTGGTTATAAATTGAGATTCAAACAAACGGGACACTAATTGAGGCCCAAACAACAAATCAGATTCCACTATATGCATAAACAACTGAGGCCCAATCTCCAGTATACACAAATTGACTAAGATCCAATATAGCCAATCATGGGTCGACTAGCGGCAAAGGAGTGGTTGACTGGTGGGTTGCTAACTGCGATAAGTGCAAGTGAGTGGCGTCGTGGCGGTTGGTGCCTTGCGCGTCTTGAGTGGTAACTGAAGTCGCGACGGCTTGGATCGATTACTGTTGATGGCGGTCTATGTGGTTGGCGAGATGTGGGTAGTGAATTATTGGGTATCGTCAACTGGGATGTGAAGCCACGGTTGTTGATGATGGCTCTCTTCGGGAATAGTAATTTCAGGTGATGGTGCGATTACGTGGATGTCTGGCTACTGGAGGTATTTAGGGGCGCTCACGGAATTATAATGGTTGCCGAATATGGGATTTCTTGTTGGGTGGTTTCGTGTATATGGACTGTGAGATTGTCGGATAATGAAGTGGATTATGGCCTGTTTGTGGTGGATGATTGTGTAAGCGGTTTACTTGAGGTATTTGACGGGTTTCATGGAGATGGAGGGTAGTGGATTAGAGGGGGTAGCCAGTCTTTTTGAGTAGTAATTGTGGGCAGTTATTTTGTAGAAGCAATTTATTGAGACGTGTATGAAGATGATGAAGGAAGTTGTCGATTGAAGACGTGGTGGGGCAGCAACGGATTTGCAGCAAAGGGTTGCTGCTTGGTCCGTCTTTGGGAGGCTGCCTGGGTTGGTTATCGATTTAGAGAACTTGGTGGTGGTGGAAAGATGGTGAAGATGACAGGAAGATCATTTTGCAGCAGCAGATACGTTGCAGTTGTGTTTATGGCTTTTCTTCACATCCATGGCAATATTATTATTATTATTTTTTTTTTTTGGGTGGAGACTATATTTTAGTTAAAGATATTGCAAATCAGGTTAGGCTCTGATACCAAGAATTGATAGAATCAATCAGGAAGGAGAAGGAGAAGGAGAAGGAGAGGAAGAGGAGAAGAGGGGAGAAACTGGGGGAGGAAAGAGAGACGTGATCACAAAATATCTTTCATTCATCAAATTGATCTTTCAATCCAAATTACAATCATAAATAACAAAATAATAAATTTGGGCTTAGGCCAACCCATATACAAGCCCAATAAAACATAAAGCTTAAATTAAATAAATAGAAGGTAAAAGGCCCAACAAATGGTCTGATGAGGATGATGTCCGCATCAAGGAGTGTCCTTTTTTTTTTTTTTTTTCCTTTTCTTTTCTTTCCGCGGCAGCACGTACGGCTTTTAAGCATAGCCAGACATGCTTTTAGTCTTTTAAGCTAAGAAGCGATGCTTTTTGAATTGCAGATCAAACAACCAATTCTTTTCCTCTCCGGACTGCAAGATGAAATGGTTCCACCGTCCCACATGCAGATGTTATATGCTAAAGCAGCTGCACGCAATCCGCAATGTTCATTTGTGGAATTCCCTAATGGAATGCATATGGATACGTGGTTATCTGGTGGTGATCGATATTGGAGTACAATTCTGGAATTCCTGGAAAAGGTTGTTCCATAGAAGAAGGATGATGAATCTACTCGGCCCAGTAAGTTTTAGATTTCCTTGTATTTCCTACTCCTATTTCGAGCCTGCATCTTTTAATCTTCCATGTTTACCAAAAGGTACTTCATTGTTTTTTGTTACTTAATGCAACAAACTCATGAGAAAAAAATTTCTGCTACTGCATTGGTAAATAGTGGATATCAAAACTTGGCATTCTTCTGGCCCAGAGATGTCCTTAAATTGGTCTTTCTAAAAAGGGTGAATAAAGAGAAGAATAATATATTTCGAAAATGTTGCTGAAAATATTCTCCCAGTTTAACAACTACTATAAATTGCCAACAAATTTTTCCTTTAGCTTTTTTTTATTATAGTCATGCTATTACAAATATCAATTTATCTACAGAGACCCCATAGTTTTGTCTAGTTCTGAAACCTATGTGATGCTAGGTGCTTGGCATTTCTGTTTTAAAAACTTGTATTCTTTTTTATTGCCATACATCTAATTGGAGTCTTTGAATTACTGTATAGTTTAGATATAAGGCCTTGTTTGAGCCCCATTATTTTCTCATTAAAATGAAAAATATGATCGTTGTCCATCATATCAAGCCATCATATTTGACTTTTTATTTCTTGTGTGGGGTTCATAACGGCTATATTTTTCATTTTCATTTTTACAATAATGGGGCTCAAACGGGGGCTAAGGATTATTGGAGCAACGAGTTTCTTTATACTAATAACTTATGCCCAGTTTGTCCACATTCTTTCCGAAAAAATACATTCTTAAACAGTGATTTGACGTTATTTCAACTACATTTTTCAATAAAATAATATTATACTTAGATCCAAAAATTTTCTTTATTTTTTGACTACACATTTCTTATCAATACACTATTCAAAAATTCATTCTTATTAAAATAATGTGACTCAAAACGTCTGTTATATCATTATCTTGTAGTTCTGTCAGATATTGAGGCAAGGTGATCACCTTCAAGTAATTCTTGGGCGTCCCGTGGCTTTTGTTGACTGTCCAGAGCAACCGTATTCATTCCTATGGACACACTCATTGGTGCATAATTCATACTAGACGGTACGGTATTGTATTGAAGCTTTGGGTGCATCTAATATTACTGTACATGCTTCAACATCTAAGCCCTGACTGATTCCAATTGTATGAAATAACAGATCAAAGTAATCTCACATTTATAGTAGGTATTGGTGCCAGCGGCTCCCACTCCCCCCTCCTCTTTTCATGATGGGTTTCTTTTGAGCCCATTATTTCCTAAGAATGTATTTTGAAATAGCGGATTGATTTTTTTTTTAATTTTTTTAAAATTTTTTTTTTGAAAGTTGAAATAGTAGATTGATGTGTGGTTAAATAATAAGGAAAAATTTTGGGTTTGTGTGTAATTTTTTTTTTTTTGGAAGAATGTATGGTTGAAAAGAAGAGAGAGAAAATGTGTTTTGGCCAAAGCATTTCATCAACTATCATTGAAGTTTGTGATTAAAAGTTTTCTTTAACACACTAGTCATTAAAATTTAAAACGATTTTAATGCCATTAACGAATATCGATGGACTCAAAGATTTGGGATCCCGATTTAGTTATTCTTTTGAATCGACTCCCTCCAAACGAACACTTTTTTCTATCCTAAGAAATGGCCCCAAAAATTCACAAAATTCTGAGTAATACACCTACTCTTCCCAAATGATGCATGTACAATTTTCATGAGTCTCAGACACTTCTATAAATAAAATGTTCCAAGACTAGTTACCGTAGGACTCAAAAGATTTAGGAATTCTATCGAAATATTCCCTTAATTAAGACAATTCCAAACAATTCCAAACAAACACTATCTTTTCTATCTTTAAAAGTGCCCCTCATAATTCACAAAATTTTTAATAACACGCGTTCTTCCAAATGATGTGTTTACAATTTTCGTAAGTTGGAGGAATTGTGTTATAAATGAAAGGTTTGCGACTCTTAGATGTAGGAATAAAAATTTTGAAACCCGGATTTAATATTTCTTTCGAATCGAACACTTCTATACAAATAATTTCTTTTGCTATCCTAAAAAAAATTATGCCTAAAAAATTTGAATTATGCTAGACGTACAGATATATATTACAGAATTCGTACAGAAATTTAAAAAATGGGACGTGTTGCGTGTCAGTGAAAGGAAAAAGAAGCGATAGTTGGCTTGGCTTGGAGGAAAGTATGTAATAAATTCATAAATTTCTTATGTTTTTATCTTGATTTTCGAGCTTGTTATGGAATATCAAACGAAGTCGAAATATTACACTTTTAATATCATTTTGAAGTACTCATGGCCTAGTATTTCACGTCATTAACGGTGAGCGAAACGGTCAATCGTAACAAATGTTACGGCTCGTTAAAGTAGGTATTTTCAAATTAGTATTTCGAAAATTTTGATAACAAGCTAACTTTAAAATTTTATTGACGATTGTACGTTAGTCGAATCCATAAATTTTCTATATTTCTCGAAACTCATTTCGAGAACTATATAATAGACATATCGAATGATCTAAATGAATATTAAAAATGATTAAACATACACCAAACGTATGTGTGAAAAATTACGTAAAAGTCGTCTTTTTTTTTTTTTTCAAATACAATCAATTATTTTATTAATATTTATTATTTTTTTGCATCAAAATTTTCAATATAATTTAAATCATTTTATAAAAAAAAATTTATGCAGTTTGACGTCAAATTTTTTTTTTGGACGTAAAAATTCTTAATAAAATTATTATCACTTTATAATTTATATGGGTTATAAATTGTTATACTATTTTTTCATCTTCATTATTTTTATATCTGAAAAATTTTTATATATAAAAAAATTCAATCATTTTTATGAATTGTTACTTTTTCCTCTCGATCAGTTAATTTTTTTAAATAATCTAATAAAATTTTTGACGTCATTTAGAAAATTTTCTAATAAACTTTTAAATATTTTTTAATGTCAAAAGAAACATCATTTTTAAACAATAAGATTTTTTCTAAAAATGATCGAATTTTTTTATATATAAAAAATTTTCAGATATAAAAATAATGAAGATGAAAAAATAGTATAACAATTTATAACAAAAAAAAAATTGACGCCAAACCATATAATTTTTTTTTATAAAATGATTTAAATTATATTGAAAAATTTGTCTCGAAAAAATAATAAATATTAATAAAATAATTGATTGTTTTTTGAAAAAAAAAAAAAAGATGACTTTTACGCAATTTTTAACACATACGTTTGATGTATGTTTAACCATTTTCGTTATTCATTTAGATCATTAGATATTCTATAATATAGTTCTCGAAATGAGCTTCGAGAGAATATAGAAGACTTATGAATTCGACTAACGTACAATCGTCGAAGAATTTTTAAAGTCAGCTTGTTATCGAAATTTTCGAAATATTAATTTGGAAAGGCTTACTTTGACGAACTGTAACATTTGGTACGATTGACCATTTCACGCACCGTTAACGACGTGAAATACTAGGCCATGAGTATTTCAAAATGATATTAAGAGTGTAATATTTCGATTTCGTTTGATATCCCATAATAAACTCGAAAATCAAGACAAAAACATAAGAAATTTATGAATTTATTACATACTTTCCTCCATGCCAAGCCAAGCCAACCGTCGCTTCTTTTTCCTTTCACTGACACGCGACACGTCCCATTTTCTTTTTTTTTTTTAATTTCTGTAAGACTTCTGTAATATATATTCTATACGCCTAGCATAATTCAAAAAATTTACAATATTCGCCCCCCAGGGCACATTCAAATTGGCGGAACAATCACATTGAAGGGCTCTGGAACCAAGCGTGGGGAGTTCGATTCCTGGTGGGAACCTTTGATCCAATAAAGAAGGAATTATTGGTGGATGGAGGAGGCTTCCTTTGGGGAAGGAGTAAAAGTCATGTGGGAACTTGGGAACCAACAAGGGCATATCCTGCGATTTACCTCCCTGAGCAGCGGAGGAGCCGAAGGTTCAGGGACGAGGATATAGTCTGCCGCAAGTTGGGACATCTTTGGTAAAAAAAAAAAAAAAAAATTTACAATATTCTAAATAAAATAGCGCTCCTACTCTTTCCCAATGATGTTTGTACAGTTTGCTTGAGTTGGGAACTCTAAGCTATAAATGACAGGTTCGAGACTCATAGTCATAGGACTCAATGATTTGAAAACATGCTATACTAAAAAATGCTGAAGCATGCTATTTGTATATATTAGGTTGACAAACTTGGTTTACAACCTATGTCCTTGTTTGAGCCCCATTTTTGAGGGGAAGAATGTATTTTGAATAGGAGATTGATGGAAAATGTATGGTTAAAAATTAAGAAAAAGTTTTGGGTTTGCGTATAATATTATTTTATTGAAAAATATGGGATTGAAAATAAATTTTGAAAAAAATGAATTTTTAGTAGGATGGAGCTCAATATGTGTTGGCAACATCTAGGCCAACTATTTTAATTTTTTTTGAAATCAATGGCTTAGATTTTGCCAACACTTAGAGTTGTTCTATTTTATTTTCGATTTTTCAAAACGGTGAAAACAAGTTCTATTTCCTATTTTTGAAAATGAATTTTGAAAAAATAAAATAAAATTGTACTAGCGTTTTGATGCCAAATCACTGAAATGAACCTTGACGCGAAAAATAGCCCTAAATTCATCTTCTTCCAAAACTGTGTGTAAGAGAAGCGTGAGAGTATCGCCACCTTCTTCCTCAACAATTGACCACCACACGCCACCTAGACCACCAGACCCCACTACCATTCGAACCATCTCGTCTCCCTTTTCAACCTCTTGTCATCACCTAGCTACGGAGTTGCCAAAAATAGCCCCAGTCACCATCCAAAACCGTGCTAACATTCACAATTTTCGCCATATTTTGACCGTCATCGGTCGCCGTTTCGATCGCAAACCATCACCACTCCACTCCTCTCAACTAGGCACATCTAGGACCACCATGGGTCACCTGCAATTTTGTCCAGAATCAAGCGTGCTTGTGAAAGTACTCCGTGAGTTGTGAAATAGATCCAGTCCCAACAAAATTGATGAAATTTTATTGATGGGTAAGCATTTCTTTTTTGTTTAATTCTTTAGGGGTTAATTTTAACGGTTTGCGAATTCTCATTCTAATACTTCGTCTTTTCCCTGTCCTTGCAATCCAGGGGCGGATCCAGACCATTTGAACTGTGGGGTCAAAATTTTTTTTTTTCGAACAACGTATCATGAAAAAAGGAAAAATCAGTTGTTTGCTGTTCATGTTCGATATGTGCACTTTGGGAAGAAATTGTTGGATTATATGATATATTTATGGACTAAATAATGGATATAGATCATGTGATATGAATATAGATTTAGAATTTGGACTTTTTGGGGCAGAAAATTAAGTTTTCAGCACAAAAAAAAAAACAGAAAATTAAGTTTTCAACACCAAAAAAAAATAAAAAAAAAATTCCAGAAAACTGTGGGGTCATTTGACCCCACATGACCCCATGTGGGTCCGCCCCTGTTGCAATCTATCTTCTCTTATTGTAACAATTTTCCATTTTTTCTCTTCAAATTTCTGCTCCACTATACATATATACACATACACATACGTATATATAGATAGAGATATAGAGTTGTGGAATTGGCAATAGGATTTTCAAATAAATGTGAGGAGGAAAATGAAGAGTGGGATTGGGAGCGGTGGAGGAAGCATTTTGTTGAGGTCGATGAGCAATAGCGTATTCTCTCGGTTTTGAAGTCACAGTTGGCTCATGCTACTAATAGAGAGGATTATGGAGATGCTGCTAGGCTTAAGGTGACAATTACAGCTACAGCAACAAAATGACACTGTTGGCATAGTAATATCTCATCTGAAGAAAGCTGTTCAGGAAGAATATTATGGCGATGCAGCTCTTGTATGTGATTATGCTGGTGCTGGATTGGTTGGATAGTGGGCTGGAATTTCAGAAGACTGTAATGACCCTTTGGTCGTATTATTTATATAAGTGCAGAGCATGGGCAATATGTAGCCAGAAGTTATAGTCCTAAGCAGCTTGCCACAGCATCAGATGGTCCCCCTCTCCCCATTTGAGATATTTCTTACATGAAATAATAAGGGCGAGTATAAGCAGCAGGCCGTTTACTTAATACGGAGAGGAGCTCAGCAGAATCTCCCAATTCCATCTTTTATGTCATCAGGAGTTACTGGTAACATAGTACTCTCAAGATGCAACTGAAAATAAAATGGGCTGTCAGATAAAAATGCTAAAAACACAGAAGATGGTGATGAAAGTGATGATGATTCTG